CAGCTTTTAATGTAAGTATATTCAAAATAGATTTAAGGTGTTTTAATGATTTTTAATAAAATAGCTTAGATCAAATGTCAAGATATATTTTAAGATATCTTAAATGTAAACATTGTAAGATATTTAAGATTTACATTTACATATTTACATTTAAGATATGTATAATGTAAAATATATAACATTGCCATGGAGTATTTTTAACAAACTTTTTAAAATGTTCCTTTTATTAAGTATTAATTATTAAAATCAAAGGAACATGCTAATTTAAAATCCCAAGGTCTTAATATTTTATAATGTCTTATAAAATGTTCAATGTTAATAATAGTTTCTAATATACTTGTAAGTAGTTAAACTAAACTTCACAAATTTTGGAGAATTTTATATCTGGCAAATCACTAAGGATGTGAAAGTTGAGAATGTCATTCATTATGGAATTTACACTAAGCAACTAGTTCTGGATGTACAGTATTGCTCTTTTGACAAATTACAAGTAATGTTTTTGAATATTAGCATTCAGTTTTTCTTTAGATGTAATTAAATGTAATTATAGGTTTCCACTATGCTGCAGTACAAATGAAAACACCAATTATAAAAACAGCATTGAAACTACAATATAAATGAACTCAGTTAATAGGATTTAAAAAGCTTATATATTTTTTAAAAAGTTTGCCAGCATGCAAGCTTCTATTTAAGCTATTTATAATTTTGCTTGTATTTCAGTTTCCACAGATTTTAACATGCTGTAGGATTATTTCTGATAACACTGGCAAAAGTCAGAGTTGTCTCCTGCAGGTGATTACCATAAAGTTCCAAAATTAGCAATAAACACATTATCCATTTTGAAAATAACACATTATCCATTTTGCACATGGCAAACAGAGATTCCTGTTAGTCTTTGGTAGCAAAAAATGAGTCTGGTAGAATCTTTTCCAACTAATACAGTTTATTAAAAGATGATTTGAAAAGCTTCTCCCAGATCCTTGTCTTGATATCCAAGGTTATTGCATCAGTCAAGGAAAATCTGACTTTTCCTGGAATGGAACCGTATTGAAAGGTCCCCACAACCAGCAATGGCAGAGATGATGGTGAAGAAGCGGCAGCAAGCTCACATCTTAATAATAATAATAATAAAGTTGGAAGGGACCCCTGCTCAGGCAGGAAACCCTATACCATTTCAGACAAATGGTATATATATCTCCATTCTAGGTTGCTTCTCTCCTTAATTAGTTTCCATCCATTGCTTCTTGTCCTGCCTTCAGGCGCCTTGGAAAATAGCTTGACTCCCTCTTCTTTGTGGCAGCCCCTGAGATATTGGAACACTACTATCATGTCCCCCCCCTCGTCCTTGTCTTCATTAAACTAGACATACCCAATTCCAGCAGCCTTTCCTTATATGCTTTAGCCTCCAGTCCCCTAATCATCTTTGTTGCTCTTCTCTGTACTCTTTCTAGAGTCTCAACATCTTTTTTTACATCATGGTGACCAAAACTGAATGCAGTATTGCAAGTGTGGCCTTACCAAGGCATTGTAAAGTGGTATTAATACTTCATGTGATCTTGATTCTGTCCCTCTGTTAATGTAGCCTAGCACTGTGTTGGCTTTTTTGGCAGCTGCAGCACACCGCTGGCTCATATTTAAGTGATTGTCCACTAGGACTCCAAGATCCCTCTCACAGTTACTGCTATTGAGCAAGTCTGTCCAGATCCTCCTGTATCCTAAGCCTGTCTTCTGGAGTGTTGGCTATTTCTGCCAGCTTGGTGTCATCTGCAAATTTGATGATTTCCCCATCAAACAACTGTTTGGAATGACTACTTTTCCTTTTATTTTCCAGCATTTTTTTACTATTTTTAAGTTCGGAGTAAACAAAGAAACAAGCACCCTTTCTTCCATTTTCTGTCCCCCTCTGAGCTTATTTTCTTGTTGATCATTTTACTGAACATCATTGTTCTTTTGACTTGTGCTGTTTTTGTGTGTGTTTTTAGTTTGTTTAGCCCAAAGGATAGCCAACCAAAGAACTTTTAAAATATATAGTATGGTCAGTAAATTTAATATTTTGATAAATATTGATCAGCTACTGTAGAAGTTGGTAGTCTTGCTACATTGTCTGTGATTCAAAGATAAGGTTTCAATCTGGAGAATAGTTGCATTGGATTCTTCCAGAAAACATCGGGCAAAACAAGACTGGGAAATTGGAAAACATCCCCAGAATAAGGCAATGGCAAACTATGTGAGTAGCACTGACAAAACTATCTGGACCTGTTATGGACATGCACAACAACATAAAAAGCAAGCAACATTGTATACATTATTATGCAAATAAAGTGGCTTGCCCTCTTGCAGTCATTCCATCTATTTCATTTACATTGTTATGTTAATATCATTGTGTCTTCTTATGCCCATAAAGTCACCAGGAATCATTTGAAAATATTTTACCTTCCTATTTTTTAATTTTTAACTTTCTTAAGAACAAATAAAAAGTACAGCACTTTGCAAATAATTTAAATAAGATTAAAGAATGCTAATAATTAAATTATACAAACTAATAGCATAAGTATCAGAAAACAAAAGTGGAACAAATAAAAACCAGTGAAATTCAGTAAAATTAATCTATTGAATTATGTTGCTATCATACATGTGATGATGATGGTGATGATGATGATGATGATGATGATGATGATAATAATAATAATAATAATAATAATAATAATAATAATAATAATAATAATAATAATAATAATAATAATAATAGTAATAAAGTTGGAAGGGACCTTGGAGGTCATCGAGTCTAACCCCCTGCTCAGGCAGGAAACCCTATACCATTTCGGGCAAATGGCTGTCCAGTCTCTTCTTAAAAACTTCCAGTGTTGGAGCATTCACTGCTTCTGGAGGCAGGTTGTTCCACTGGTTAATTGTTCTAACTGTCAGGAAGTTTCTCCTTAGTTCTGTTTTTGAAAGCCGAGATCAGTGGTTTTGTAATACAGTAAAGGATACTCCAATTCTTCATTCCAAATATCTTGCATATTATATCCAATTATTATGTTTAAAACTGCTGATAATACTGTTCAATATTAAACCAGTTTTTCTTTATCAAATAATTGACCTGATTCAAATATATTTGTTAGGACACTACTGCAAATATACAGGGTGAGTTCAGATGTGCTAACCCATGAGTGAAAAGCAGTGGTTGTGTTCATGCCAGACTAAGCCCAGACAAATGTCTATGGAGATTCTCAGTCATCCAGGTCATAGTTATCTCAAAGATGCTTTTTTCACAAAGCGATTGGACTTTGTTTTTTTTTTAGAAGATATTTTGCTTCTCATCCAAGAAGCTTCTTCAGCTCTGACTGGATAGTGGGGAATGAAAAGATTTATACTCCTTGCAGACAGCTGTTGAAAGGACTGTATTGTAGACTGGAGACAGATGATGTCATATCCCTCCCCCTCTGTTGAGAGAAGGCTGTTCAATATTGACATAGATGGCCTCTTTGACCCTCTCTTTCAAACCAGCAGTCCTCCCTGTCCAAAATGTGAACTTTGCCGTCTTCAAAACAGTGGCCTTTGTCTTTTAAATGCAGATGGATTGCTGAATCTTGTCCTGAAGGGTTTGTTCTCCTATATTGTTCCACACGTTTATGAAATTGTTGTTTTGTTTCCTCAATGTACAGATCTGCACGTGGCTCACTGCTTGTTCTGCATATACCACATTGCTCAGTTTGTGTCTGGGTGTTTTATCCTTGGGGTGGACAAGCTTCTTCTGCCTTATTCTTGGGTTTGAAGTGTGCAGGAATACAACAGGTGAAAACCCTGATTAGGCCCACTGTGACATTTGACAGGACGCAGTTGTATAACAGTATTTTAGGTTCTTGTGGTTGCTAACTTGAGTTTATTCCATGGTACTGACTTACAAAGTCATGTAAACTTGGTATAAAAATAAAGGAGATATGTTGTAATATAGAGATACAAAGTAGCATTACCCCTTCCAAAACAAGCACATGTATTTAAAATTAAATTTCACTGCATTCTTTGCAACTTGCCCTTGAATAAATCTGCTTTGGAAATCAATATCATTAAAAGTTTTTTAAACACTGCAGCACAACTCTGGGGAAAGCATGCTCCACAGCAGGGCTCTCTGCAGTGTCACAGGTTGAAAAAGGGTGGAGTTTGGCCTACCCATTGATGTCCACCATTTTGAATCTAGTGAACGTGCCAGCAGATATTCCTTCCCACTATGTAAATCCCACGGAGGAGACCTCAGACTCTTTCATGGTATTTGGACTGGTCAATTTTGGCAAACCGTAGAGTCCGAACTACCAGCAGTTTGAATTGGGCCGTATTAGTTACGTGTACAGCAATCTCAAAATCAGTGATACCCTGAAATGGCTTTTTGAGCTTATTTGGATCATTGGTAACATGTTGGTTACTCCCACAAACCGGTTGCCAGTTGCAAAACACCAATACAACACAAGGCAAACAAAGCCTTGCATTTAAGTTATCCTTTAAAAAAAAAAATGCACCCGCAATGTTGCTGCTCTGCAGCGAATTTTTTTCCCCAGCCTTTTTTTGGGGGGACTTTGTTTCAATTAAAAGCGTATTTACAAATTAAGTTGCTAAAAGCAAAACCCTTGTAGACACCAAGGAACTTTTCTGCGGGCGCAAGATTGCTTCCCCAGCATGGCCTAGCTGAGCGCCTTAAAAAGGGAAGAAAGAAGCGACTGTTGGGGCTGGGGAATTTGCCGGCTGCGGTTTTTGATTTTTCCTTGTTCCTTGCCTACATAAGTATGGCAGAAATATGGCCGTTCTGGAAAAGGGGCATAAGATGCCACCCCAGCCCTGGCTGTTGCTGCTGGAACCAGCCACCCCCTCCTTCCCCAGCCGGGCGCCCACCCTGCCTCCCAACTGAGGCGCTGCCTCGACTCCCCAAAGGAATTTCTCCCTCTGCCGGAACGAAGAACACACGGCGCCCCGCTTCTTTCTCCCCGCCCTACCAGCCGACGGCTTAGAAAGGAGGAGCCGCGGCGTCGGCGCAAGGAGGAGCAAGCTGCGGTCTGGTCGGCAGGCCTTTCGCTTTGCTGAGGCTGGACGAACAGTCGGCTAGCCGAGGAGCAAGCGAGAAAAGGTCTCTGGAGGAGCAGCAGCCATGCCGGTAGGTGCTTGCACACCACACATCTGAGACTCGGGTTGGGGCGGCGAGGGAGAAAAAGGAGGCCGAGCCCAGAAGGAGGCGCTGCAAAGGAAGTTTCCTGGCGGTCCTTCTCGCTGTGTAGCGGCATCAGCTCTTCAGTGCCCCTCTGCGATTTCCTATTTTTGGGGACGAAGCCCTTCGCCTTTCGTGGGGAGAGTCCTGTTTATCTTGCTCCCCGGTTTGGTTCCCCCAACGCCCCCACCTGTAAGATCTCCTAAATCGCGTTGGGATTCCAGAAGGAAGGATGACCCGTCGGCGCGGTGGTTGCCCCTGGGCGGAAGGACGGGCGAGGGGGGTTGTCACGGAGCTTTGCTGATAACTGATAACAAGAGGCTTCTTCTTAGCCTTTCCCAGATTGACGTCCTCCAGAATTCCCTGCCAAGTCCTAATACTTCTAGAGGCATCCGTTTGGTAAAGGCTGCTGGCAGCCTTTCTTCAAAATGAGGTGTGTTGTGAGAAATTAGTCCTTTTGGCCAACGGGTTTTGCAGATGTTTTTTAGACCTCGCAGTGGTATGCTACCCTACCCCCACCCCAAAAAATAACCTGGAAAATTGTGCTTGGCCAAGCGTCTTTCGCACACAAAATCCTGCACTTCGTTTTTCTGACTGTCATGCATATGCATTCCACAGAACAAATGAATCCTTGAATATGTGTGCAGGGGTGTGTGTCCTATTTAATACATTTTTCTCCAGCTTGGTACTCTTCTTGATGAGTTTCATCCTATCTTGAGTGTTTTAGCCCAACAAACCTGTCAGATCCAAATGATCTGTCACCAGGATTGGGAGAGGAGACCTGACGTCATCCAAAAACATTTGACAATTGTTCTCATAACTCTGTTATTAACTATAAAGAATTCATTGTAATTTAGGTAAATACAGTATAAACTCTTCCTGGCCATGTTCATGTAGGACTAACAGTATATCTTCGCTCCAATTCCATATGAAAGAGCATGTTTTATAAAGTTGCCTAATTTGCCTACCTTCTCAAGCTTCACTAAGGGTATCTGCCAATAAACTGCTTGATTTGAAGTATCAGTGTCAGCTCCAGTCAAGTAAAATCTTCTCTATCCATTGGTTTTTTGCAGATAATTGTGGCCTCCCAGATAGAACTGCTCTGGATGCTTAAAATATGTATATATACACACTTTATGCTTATGTATTTATTATTGAAGTTATTAGGCACATGAGGAATACTCCCCTTAAAACAGCCATTTCATGATGACAACTGCTGCTTATAAAATAAGCAGCAATTTCTAACTAACCATGTACAATACAAAAATTATAATAACAATTTCTAGCTAGTAGTCACTCTGGCTAGGAGTTCTTGTAATTAAGAGTCTTAGGATAATGCAGGAACATTGGTTTGGAGAGTACTGTATTTGAGTAACAACATCCCAGTTTGGTAAAGCTGACAATACTTTTTTTTAAAAAAGAAAATGAGCATTTGTAGCAGCGCATAAACTGGACATAGACCTCAGTTGGTAGTGTTAATTGAGTACTGATGGATTGCAATTAACTAACTGCATATTTATTACTAGGATACTAGTCCTTAGTTAAACTGGGTTTCTGGGTATGCATGATATGAAACTGATTACATGGACTGGCTTTGCACAATTCACAGGGTTACAACATGGCTAATTACATTTTTGTCTATTTCACTCTGAAACCCAGCCTTGTATATTCTTACAGGAGAGGTGGGAAATTTTGAAAAGTAGAAACCACACAAACATTTTGGAGAGGAGGGGCAAGAATCACTCTGGATAAAGTGAAGACAGTTCAAGATTTATTGGGGGTTTTTGCCCCTTGGTTTTGGGGATAGGAAATTTTAAGTTGCAATTTTTGGCTTGTTTGCTTGTTTTAACTGAGACTGGCTTTGGACTTAAGCTTGTTTGTGTTACCTGCGTTAAAATAGCAGGAAGCCCCACCAATTTTCAATAGTTAATCCAAAGCTTGCCAAAACAAATGTGGGATCAAGGGTGTCTCATCTGCTTTGAGGCATTCATAGTAAAAGGAGCCCTTCATTTCAACATGTTGACAAGTAGTAACAGCTGAAAAATCTCCATCTTCTGGTCATTCACAATGCAATTATGGCCTTTAACCCTAACCTTTCCCTGTTTTTACAATAAATTTAGTTGTATTTTTCCTCCATGAGGGCAGAACCCTATATAATCAAGTGCTGGGATCTTAAAAAACATTATAGTTCCTCTTCAGAACTTGTTCTTCAACACAGCAGTTGCAATTTTGTGTTTAGTTGTTTTTAAACTGTTTGCATATTGCAAAATTAAACCACTTGCCACTTATATGGAAATATCCTGGACATTACTAATGCAACAGATTAACAGAGCCTGTTTTATTTATTTTTTTATCCTTCCTCTGTTCTTCCCATTGCCATAATCACCACACTAAGAGGTTTATTGTTGCAAGAGCAGCAACAATGAAAAAAGTATTGATGGGGGTAGGGAAGTTCATCCAAGAATTGCAGGTCAAGTTTTTCTGCCACTTCTGGCTAATCCATGGTGATCCAAGTATCTTGTTGCTTTTTGTGGACTGGGGAATGAGGTTTGAGATTGTACTGAGGCAACAGAAAAATGTAAAAGAGTGACATCACTGAAGCCTGTGTTCTCTTCACTGCACTGTTACTCAACTATGGCAACTTCTCAGCTTTGTAGGGGGCATAGAAGAGCACACAGGACTGCCATATGCTTTCTTTCATTCTTTTTTCCATCAGAACTTAAAACTACGGTAACCAGTATGGCTTTCTTTGTTCTGGATAGAAAGTAGGCAAAAGAAGTCATCACCCTTCCTGTACTGACCCTGATGCATCATAGGACTTATTTAAATAATGGGAGATGTGGGCCTGAATAGCTTTCACTGTCATATGTAGCACTCACTGTCCATTGTACCTCAAATTCTGGAATAGAAAACTTGACAGAGTCTTGTGGCATCTAAAAAGATCAATCAAATACATCTGATTAATTGAGCTGATATCCATGAACACTTACCATTTTATGGAACTACCATAAATACGAGAGTTTTTAGTGTTCCCATATAGTACTTTCCTTGATCAAGCTGACAGAGTTGGAAGAGGCCATTTAAGCCACTGGGTGCAGTTAAAACACCTCTACCAGTTGATCGCCTATCTTCTGATTTGGTCAAACTGCTTTGATCATTAGCAATTTGCCTTCTTTAAAACCATTATTCTGGGTCTTGCATTGTGATAGGAAAAAGGACAAGTCACAGCCTTCTGTACACTAGCCATTCAGAAATATGAAGAGTGCTTAATCTTTCCTTAAATTTCCTCATTATTTTTTTTTTAGTCTCTTGTGTAGGATTTAGTTTCCGCCTCCTAGATCCTCTTTGTTCTCTTTTAAGAACCAATACAAGAAAGAGCTGACAAGTACAAAAGAGAATGGACAGTTGATGTCTTGTGATTTAGAAATTACCCTCCTGTTGATTCAGCTTAAAACTGCACTTGCCTCTTGCAGCTACGTGTTGAGTTCTTACTCACCTTGCATTCCATAAAGAACATTGCTGAATATTTGTTAACATAACTAAAGAAATTAAAGTGCAAGGCTTGGCAGCGGGTACAAATGCATTAAATAAAGGCAAACTAAGGGTTTATTCTCATAAAAAATGGAAAGTAAAACAATGTCATTATTTTTCAGAGCTTCTTTTGGTGCATCTGTGATCATTTCAGTCAGTCACTTATGCCTAATACCATGTCTGTTGTCCATATTGGCTAGGGCAGTAGTTCTTAAACTGACCCATCATCCCTTTTCCTGGTCTTGAAATAGTATCAGTATCAGTACCCCCCACAAAAACCCAGCATCTATTTTAAAGTGGACTTACACAACCTGGAAGCTCAGCTCACAAATGAGCAATTACAAATTGCTCTATTATTCCCATATTACTGTCCTAGTTTAATTACTGTCCTAGTTTAAGAACTTCTAGGCTAAGGTAACTAGAGTTATACTCCAGTACATTTATAGAGTGCATGATTGGGAGGATATGGACATATATTCCTGTGAATTATATCAGGATTGTACTCAAGTTGGTATTAGTATATGGGATTTCTTAATGTGTTTTTATGTTACTAATTTTAATATGTTTTTAAACATAGGGAAGAGGATCCCAGGGGTTTTTTTTGGTCCTTAGATTTTCAGGTATTACATCAGTAAATCCCTGGTGATTAGTGTATCTCTTAGGGGAAACAAGCTAGACTTTCAGTCATCCTTCCTACTTCTAGTGAAGGTAGAAATGCTTAGACTCAGAGATTTGGCCCTGCTTATGGCATTAAGGCTTGCATCCACTTCTGTTCACACATTCCTTAAGTTGGATTCCACACTTTTCTCGGTGAAATGTACCTGAAGTGTTACTTTAAAAACCGGTTAGTCCTTTTCAGTATGACTCTTACTTCTCTCCTTGACTACCTCCCTCTGCAACAAATTCTAGCAAGAGTGCACAAAAAGCCACAGAGACAATTGGATAATTCTCCGAGGGCTGGCTGAGTTGTTTACAAAGAATCCAAGTTGTGGTTCACAAATTATGTTTGCATGTTTATGTTCTATAGAGTGAAGATTTGTGAATATTAGTTAACATAATATTTAGTTGTGCTCTGCATTGAACATGTAATTTAGACAGTGATGAGTTTCAGTAATCTTATTGTTTTAATTCTCGTGATTTCAGAAACATGAGTTCTTTGTGGATATGACCTGTGAAGGATGCCTCAATACTGTAACCCGTGTTCTCAACAAACTGGGAGGTGAGAGAAATTTGGCAGACTCTAATATTTCCAACTGTTTCCAACTGTTCTTGCTTGGAACACTTAAGCGTTTTGCTCATAACCTATCTAGAAAAACTGACATCAGGAACTCCAAGATCAGTATCAACTTTATAAGATGATATCCCACTGAAATATTTTTGATAATTCCACCACACTAGACCAATATTCTCCCCCACAGTATGCAACAGTAAATTCATGTTTATGTATTGAATTTATTATTAAAGGCTGCCTTTCTTTTAATATGGATAGTTGCCTGAACTAAATAATATCTGTTGAGAAATACATGTTGAATTTGCATTTTATGATTTTTAATGAGAAAATGGAAAATCCCCTTCTGAGAATCATTTCCTCTGCTGGATTATTATAGATTGTCCTGTAAACTTTATTCTCTTTGCATCATTCAGGACTTGATCCTATGTTCATTTAACAAATAAGTTTTCTACGTAACTTTTGGTCTGAGAAGACCTCTACTACTCTCTTTCACTTCTTAATAGGGCTCTATCCTCCTCCTATCCTAAATTAGAATCGGTATAATGTGGCTTTTTTAAAGATATCCTATACAGAATGTATACTTCCATGTTCAGAACTAAATGAAGGCCTTCTGAATGTGATTTGGTGAAATGCACCAAGAAGCTTCATATTATCTGTTTTGTATGTAAACATATATTTATGCTATGATTAAGGTGAATTGAATGGGTGTATAGGTAGTCCTTGAATTACAACCATTCATTAAGTGATGTTTAAAGTTACAGCAGCATTGAAAAAGGGGACTTATGACCTGTCCTCACTCTTAACGACCACTGCAGCATCCCCATAGTCGTGTGATCAAAAATTAGGTGCTTAACAACCAGCATGTATTTATGATGGTCACAGCATCCTGGGATCATGTGATTGCCATTAGCAACCTTCCCAACTGGCTTCCGACAAATTCACTTAATGACCACATGATTCACTTAATAACTGCAGTGATTCACTTAACAACTGTGGCAGAGTAGGTCATAAAATCTTGCCTAACAACTGCCTCGCTTAACAACAGTAATTGTGGTTGAGAACTACTTGTATAGCTACTAGTCATTATGCACGTTTATCATTTTTGACATACCATATGTCCTGATTTTATATCCAGCAGGCCTTGGAGAATGGCCTGTTGTCTTTATCTTTTCTAGATAATATAAAAAGTGTCTATCAAACTTTGGAAAAAGTGTATGTCTTCTGTTGCATTTTTATCGTCCCTAGAAAATATGCATATTTTTTCCAGAAACACTGGAGAATGTGCACACATCAGCACAAGCCCAGCAATAATGTTGTACTTTGACCATGCAGTAAGCAAGATCTCCAAGTAACTTTGGTAATTTGACAAATCAGCTAGTTGTGATTAGGTCAGTATATTCTGTTTGCAAGCAATGTTGGGCAATGTTATATCAATCAATACCTGCTCAGTAAAATCCAACATTACTGTGCACATTATGCCCATGTATCTACATAGATAAATAAAACTGCTCTATACTGTAATACTGCATAGAAATTAGTATCATTTTGATCAGTCACAGATTTATATTCTTAGAGGTCAGTTTTATTTCAAGAAAGCTGTGCCACTCCCTAAACCCTTAATACAGGGTTGGGAACCAGACCGTGGAAATGGTGGGCGAGGGCACCCGGATGAAACTGCATTTCTCAAAGCAGCACAAAACCATACCATCTTCCTTCCCTACTTCCCCCCCCCCCGCTGCCACTGCCACCTCTACTGGTCCACCAAGTCGAAAAGATTGGGGACCGCTGCCTTAATACACACAGAATAACAGAGTTGGAAGAGTCCTTGAAGGTCTTCTAGCCCAACCCCAACTCAAGCAGGAGACCCTATAGCAGTGATGGCGAACCTTTTAGAGACTGAGTGCCCAAACTGCAACCCAAAACCCATTTATGCATCATCAAGTGCCAGGTGGGCGTGGCCCATTGGGTGGGCATGGCTGTGGTGGTAACGGCAGACTGGGTGGGACTAAAAAGTTCAATCAATCAATTCCAACTTTGCAAGATCTTTTTTTTTCCCACGAGAAGTTGAAACTGATTGATTGATTGAACCTTTTTTTTTTTTGCACATGGCGGCGGAGGCCTAAAGCGAAAAGATTTTATAAAACCCAGCTGAAGGCCTAGAACTGGGGCGACGGCACACGTGCCCACAGAGAGGGCTCTGAGTGCCACCTCTGGCACCCGTGCCATAGGTTCGCCACCACTGCCCTATAGCCTATACCAAATGGCTATAGCCTATACCTAGACAAATGGCTATCCAATCCATTCTTATAAGCCTGCAGTAATGGAGCACCCACAACTTATGAAGGCAAGCTCTTCCACTGTTAGGCTGTTCTCACTGTTAGGCAAAAAATACCATGCCTGTTATTTCTTTCCTCTCTCAGGTGTTCAGTTTGAAATTGACCTACCTAACAAGAAAGTGAGCATTGATTCCGCTCACAGTGTTGATACATTGTTGGACACCCTGAAGAAAACTGGGAAAAATACCTCCTATCTCGGAGAGAAATAAACATTTAGAGAAATGTTGCTGATTGGGCTCTTTTGCTTTAAGAAAGGTTAGTTGTCAGCATTATTTAAAAACTGCTGTCTCAGCAGAACTGAATATGATGTGAAATGTGCTGGAATAGCAGCCTCAAATGTTAATAAAATCTGATGTTAGTTTTGTGAAGACTAACTACTCTCTCCTGCTTCAGATTAGCAGAAATAAAAGGAGTTAGGTGTGAAAAAATTAATGTCATATTTTTATACATGTGGCTCTGCCCAAGAGTAGAGACTTTGCATCACCACGCCATCCCTAGTACAACAGACAAAAAGTCGTATTAGTTATAGCTGGATTTGTGTTGGAGCTATGAAGCTGTGAAGACAAAGAAAGTATCCAGACCAAGCCTTATCCTGCATATTGCTGAGCAAGCAGCTAGGGCTGCACATATCTGACATTTTAGGAGGAGTTAAATCTGTCCAACAACCAGTTTGGTGAGATGGAGGAGCAAAGCACCAACTTAATCTGGTGTCCTCTTTCCCTCAAAATCCTACAGCATGCTCCGTTTTCTTTCCGAATTCTGCCTTTGTGCAGAAATAACTACAGAAGTGTGCATGCAGCAGCCCTATGTTTATTTAATTTTAATTTATTTGTTAAAATACTTTTAGCCCTCCTAAAAAGAAAAATAGCCTTTCAGAGAACTGGAGACTGTGGAGGTAGCATTGTTATAAGATTCAGCTAACCCCAGCTCATTTTTTCAGTCTTATCTTCTCTTTGGTAAAACTGATTTTACACACTTCTGTAGCAGTTCAACTCTTCTGGCCACATCAAGTCTCTTCCCACATCCAGCCAAAGCATAAAGCTAAAATTTTGATAAAATCAGTAATAAATGGGCTTTGTCAACATATGAACCTGTCTCACATGGACTGAACAGTATTCTTTTGAATAGATGAAGCACATCCTTCCTCCTTTGTACGTTCATCTTAAATGGGTTGAGCTTCAGGTTACAGTTACAGATTGAACACTTTTCCTTATGCGAATTGGAGAGAAAATGAGTGGGTTGTATACAAACCAAGATGATGTCACACAGTCAGAGAGGGTCAAAAGCATAGAACAAAGGGTCTTAACCGTCTTATGGGAAGCAAGAACAAAAGACGCTATACATACTTCTTGGAAAATCATGTTCTAGAGCAGGGGTCTCCAAACTTGGCGTCTTTAAGACTTGTGGATTTCAACTCCCAGAATTCCTCAGCCAGCATGGCTGCCTGAGGAATTCTGGGAATTGAAGCCCACAAGTCTTAAAGCCGCCAAGTTTGAAGACCCCTGTTCTAGAGCATGGGAACCACTACAGAAATGGCTCAAATCCCATGGACCCCCTCATGGAAGGAGAACTCTTACTGGAGAAAGAGAACCCTTCTTGAGATGATTGGGCTGAATGGACAAAGTAAGTTTTTACAAAGTAGTGCCTGGTTCCCAAACACTACAGAACAGTGTATTGGGCTCTGTAGGTAATCAATAGCACGATGGGCCTGGAAGCATAAGTAGCCAGTGCAGCCACTTCAAAATCAATGTATTACCCTGTAATAGTGATGTTGTCTTGCCAGCTACTGGCTACTACATTCTGCACCAGGTTATTTCCAAAGGCTGCCCTACACAAAGCATGTTCTAGTAATCCAAACAAATAGGCTTTATATTTCTATCTGAGTGGATTTTTTTTTTTTTACAGAGAGATCAGTAGGATCCACTACTATGAAGTATGCCATTTTTTATTTTTGGAGGAATGTGGATAGGGTATGGTAGCGGCAGAAGTAATCTATGGTGCTAGCTTACCATCTACACTGAGTTTTGATAGCTACCATATTGGAATAGCTGAAAGCAGGGGTGTCAAACTGCTGGCCCGCAGGCCGGATGCGTCACTGGAAAACCGCACCCATCCCATTGCCGGCAATGGGGAAAAAGCTCCGATATGTTGCGCGACGTCACATGACGTCGCGAGTTTGACATGTCTGGCTTAAAGTAAAGGATGAAGTTTTAAAAGTAAAATCAGAAATAGGAACATCCAAAACACAGTAAAACAGAGACAATAGTTTCTAGTTCCACCAATAGCACAATTCAAGAGGATTATATCAACACCAATTACTGCTATGAGAAATCACTGTGTTTATTTTATATCCATTTACAGGTAGTTACAGTGATTCACTTAACAGCTGTGGCAAGAAAAGTCATAAAATAGGGCAAAATGCATTTAACGACTGTCTTGCTTAGCAACAGAAACTTTGGTTGTAGGTCGATGACTGTGTATACTGTGAATGTATCTGTACAGTATTTTTTAATTCTGATAATGTATCACAATTTGCTTAAAGCGGTTGTGCTATGTAGCTTCCACCAGCAGGTGGAGATCATGTCTAACTCTTACTTCCCCTGATTTTCCAGCAATGCTTTTAATATGGCTTCAGTACGAAGGGAGTTACTTCTACTTCTGTTGATCCTGTTCCTTTGACTGCAGTTGCCTGGCCAGATGTTGGAAAAGAGAGAAGGGAAGAAAACAATTTTCCACGGGGAAAAGGGACTAAGAGAAAATGTGACCCCAGATGGCCCACGTTTCCTCTTACAAATGTAACGCTTATGCATTCTTCTGTTATGATCTTGTAATAAAGCAAGGAGCTGTTCCTATTTTCATGTAAAAGTCTCGACTCTGTGCATTTTTTCAGAAGCAGCCAGTAGCTTTTAAAAGAATCAAGCTGGTTAATTCATATCCACCTATATTCTAAAGCAGACCTTTGCAAACTTGTGCCCATAAATGGCTATGATGCTAGAGATGATGAAAGAGTGGTCAAATAGTCTTGAGAATCTCAGATTGCAGAAGGATATACAGGAATGTGCCAGGACCAAATTGAGCTCATGTAGTTTTTACATTCACTCTTACTATACTTCCCTTTCTATAACCAATAGTGCTTCCTTCCCTCCTTCCCTTCCCTCCTTTTCTGCAAATTATATATCCACCCATCTCAACAAACCTCTAGGTGGCTTACAAACAATATAGTAATATAAAACTTATACAATTATCGGCAGAAAAAATAAATCCAGTGATTTTATTATATATTAATCCCCAACTAAAACTAGAACTTGTACTAATCGATGAGCGTGGTAGATTTCCTGGGGCAGAAGTTAATTTGCACAGGACTAAGACTGTGGTACTGGGAATTTATGCCTCAGCTGATAATAAAGTACTGTTTTATAAACAAATTATAGATTTGAGATATTATAGAGATATTAATTATTTTCTTTTAAAAATTGATATTTGATAGCAGGTTAAAATGGAGTGTTTTTCCCCACAGCTGGATAGAACTTCTGAGGAGAGAAATCTCTAAACTACCCCTTGCTAACAAAGTTGGAGTCCTGACAGTACCATGCTTTCGGTTTTGTTCTTCAGACAAAACCATTAAAACCATTTCGTATTTTAGGTCTCATTATATTGAAATCATTAGGACTTAAGTATTTAATGATGAATTGATTTCATTTTTAATAAAACCTGAGTGTGGAATTGGAATTTGTGAAGGGCATTTCTCTTAATTTTTTAAAAATAAACATAGGCCAACTTAGTTCAATAACCAGACATCTGTTTTCTGGGCACAAAATTATTTAACATTAATCTAGATATAAAGAGAAATGTGGCCAGGATTATAGCTGATGCCTCTTAATCCTTTGCAATTGTTAAAAGGGAGAGACGAATTTACTATTTTAAGTGTAGGATGCCTTTATTAGTTTTACAAATAACTCAAGGGGGTGACCATATTCAACACACCCACCTTCTCTTGTTTTCCTCACAACAACAACCCTGTGAGGTGGGTTGAGCTGAGAGTGACTGACCCAAAGTCACACAACTGGCTTTCATAAGTTAAGGAAAATTTCTAAGCATTCATATTTTTAACATTACACTCAAGAAGGATATCGAACTATGTTTTGATGCCTTTACTCTCCTTATAGAGCTAACTGAGCATCTGAGTGAAGAAATAGCATGACTAGAGTTTTACCATTTGGCGAAGGTTTTCTATGCTGTTCTTTCTGTTGGCAGAGAATGAGCCAAAAACAACTGGCACTTCAATAAATCACAGAGTTTTTATGTGCATTCTCATGCTCAGTCCTGCCATCTTTTGTAAATAAGTCTCAGTAGATAATAAGCTTAAAAACTGAAATTAATACTGCACTCTGCAAACAAGCTGAAAATCTAGCTAATAGCTAAGAGATCTCTGGAGGCATCAGAAGATATGTTGTTGCTTGGAAATATATATATGCAGTATTTCTACCATAGCAATATACATTGCCAAACAGGAAATTTGAAATGAATATAAATAATGTTACAATCAGAAAGATGCATCTCTTTTTTACTGTATTCACAATTCCATCCTCTCCCCACTCTATCTTATTCTAACCAAACAAGAGCATTTTGAGTTCAATTATTCTGCTTTCCCCAGCTTTGTGCCCTCTAAATAAATGTATTGGGACTTCAGTTTCCAAACCCCCCATCCAGCATTACAAAATCTTGGAGCTGATCCATTGGATAAACTAGTTAAAATGCTTAGTTTAGAAGATCACTCTTCAGGATAAATATACATAAAAAAAGACTTAGAAGTGAAGTGTCAAGATTCAAGTAGTTCCTGTATGTTTATAGTAAACATTTATTTATAAATCTTTGCCAATAATGAAAAGTAGCTCACATAAACAAGTAAGTAACAAGTATAATAATGAAAAGCAGCTAAAATAAACATGTTGAGAATTACAGTTCTAAAAGCTAAAACATGCTTTTTCATGTCAGGCTCATAACCCTGTGAATATCACCCAACCATTGCCCTGAATGGGAGAACTCCTTTTTCTTAAGATTGGCCTTGGAGGGATTTGAACTGATTTGAATTGATTTAAATCTGAAGGAGGAGGATGATATTTATTAATAAGGAGGCCTTATTAAAAAGCCATGCTTAGTCATGTACAATTTTAGGTTTAGCAGTAATATTTCCTATAATGTAACCTAATGGTGACATCTATTCATTTCATGTTATAGCAGTTCCCAAGTTCTGCCTATGCTGCTTTAAAAGCCAATGACATAGTTGCTTTTAAGGTTCTTGCCTCCTCTCTATTCCCCCTGCCCTCCAAATCTTAGTAGTCCAAAAATGAAATGTTGGCCATCTGGCAAGAGGCATCCTGATTACGCTTTTAATAAGTGATTATATGTGTGATAGACCCTTGTAGCAAGGATATGTTTTTGAGGGGTAGGGGTTGGGACGCTACTACCTAAGCAAAGAGTAAAGTCAGTCAAGTCCAACTCTAGGGTACGGTGCTCATCTCTGTTTCTTGGCCGAAGGAGCCAGCGTTGTTCAAGGACAATTTCTATGGTCATGTGGTCAGCATGGCTATCTGCCAAAGACACCTGGAACGCTGTTACCTTCCCACTGACTTGCATTCGCGTGCTTTCAAACTGCTAGGTGGGAAGGAGCTGAAGCAAATAACAGGAGCTCATCCTGTTGCCTGGAGCTCATGTCTCAAACCTGAGCTGTCAGCTCTCCAGCTGACAAGCTAGCTAAAAAATAAATAAATCCCCACCCATAAATTAGATTGCTAAAGAATAACCCTTTGAAAAAGTCAACTAGGGATGTATTTATGTTTTTGCTTATTTTGTGTTCATTGCAATCAACCAGCTTCTTGGCCCTTCACAGTGGTGCCTCATTGGGGGGCAGGGGAGGTGTGGGAGAGCATTCCTGGAAGGATGAGTAAAAGAAGCCATAAATATACACCAATAGTACTATATACTTACCCAAGACATAAAAGTCAACCCATTTGCCCAGCTAAAGCAAGATGATATTTGGAAAAGTATTTAAAGCAAAAAGACACAAAGAAAAGGTATTCAAATGACATGACTGTCTACACCTACAAAAATTAAAATCAGGCAGGCAATAGTTTTTCCTGAAACTCTCCATGGAAGTTAAAGATGGGTTTTGATTTTGAAGAAGCAGGACTGAATGATATTGTTGCTTCTGAACTTTGGTAACCAAGACTCCTGAGAATATCCTAGAATAGCAAAGAAAACAGATAAAATAATAATAAAACAACTACAAAATTCTCACTTGATCAAACTAGGTGAAGTATCCTATTTTGGACATACAGTATTATGTGGAGACCCAGCTCTCTGGAGAAGACTCTACTGCTGGGAAAGGTGGAAAGAAATAGAAGAGGGCAACCGGAAGCAAGGTAGATGGACTCCATTACGCAGCAATGGGTGCATACTATAAGACCTGAATGGCCAGTCCTGGAAAAGGCCTATCTGTGTGGTCCCTCAAAGTTAATACTGACTTGATGGCACATATCCAATCAATCAAAATTTCCTGGTCAGATTTTAAAAATGCAATTCTCTTTCTTGGTAACATTAGGCAATAAATGAGTAATTAAGGTTGGGAGTCAGAAATTCCTTCTACTTTACTTATTTCACTAAAGCCGAACTTCCTTCTGTAATCTGGAACATTTAATTATTTAACCCACAATAACTCCCTTCCTTTGCCATATCTCTTAACATATTTTGAAAGACAGCCTTTAGTGCATTGCATCTGTAATTTTCTTGATTCTCACTCAATGGATGGGTTTAAGTAGCTTCTTCCTTTTTGACACCTCTCTAAAAATTTGAATCTTTTGCCTTAGATATTTGTTATGGAGTGTGTTATCATAGTTATGCACAGCAAAATGCAGAATAATAGAGTTGGAAAGGACCTTGGAGGTCTTCTAGTCCAAGCAGGAGACCCTATACTATTTAGGACAAGTGGCTATACAGTGTCTTCTTAAAAGCCTCCAGTGATGAAATGCCCACAACTTCTGAAAGCAAGCCATTCCACTGATTAATTGTTCTCAATGTTGGGAAATTTCTCCTTAATTCCAGGTTGCTTCTCTCCCTGATTAGTTTCCATCCATTGTTTCTTATCTTACCTTCTGGTGCTTTGAAAAATAGTTGTTAAGTGAATCACTGCAGTTGTTAAATTAGTAACACAGTTGTTAGGTGAAACAGGCTTCCCCATTGACTTTGCTTGTCAGGAGGTCGCAAAAGGGGATCACATGGCCTGGGCAGCAATGGCCGTAAGTATGAACCAGTTGCCAAGCACGTTGCCTATTGACTTTATCAGACAGTCACAAAAGGGGATTACGATGATCCTGAGACACTGCAACCGTCATAAATAAATATGAACCAGTTCCCAAGCATCTGAATTTAGATCACATGACCATGGAGATGCTGCAAAGGTTGTTAAGTGTGAAAAATGGTCATATGTCACTTTTAGCTGCCACTATAACTTTGAACGGTCACTAAATGAACTGTTGTAAGTTGAGGACTATCTGTATTTAATGTAAGCAGATTTTCCTTTCTATAGGAAAGGAAACTCGGTGATAACTTTCAAAAGAGCACTGGCTTTCACACTGAATGATGGGGAACATGGGGTCCAAGAGCCTCAGATTATACCCAATACTCTAAGCATCTCATGTGAACTCAGTGAATTTTAGAAAAGGATTTCACAAAGTCCCATTTCACGTTTTTTCTCTCATTTCAGTTCAAATGAGCTGAGTATTGAAATCTATACAGCTTTAAAGACAGAGGCCAGTGATACAGCACAACTCTCATATATATAATTAAGAGTAGTGGTGGGATTCAAA